CAGCCAGAGTCATTGCAGAATTGCATGTGATAGCCAAAGCAGCAAGACAGGGAAATTCGCCAGCCCTGTGCAGCCAAGCTCGGTCTCAAAGTGACTTGAAGTACAGGAGCAAACGTGAGAAGAAAAATGTTTGTTTTTCCAAAAAAGGCTGTAACTGGTTTTCCGCTGCTTGTCCCAAATCACTTCCTTTGCTGTAACTTCCTCCGTTTGATGCCTAGAGCATTTCAGAAAGGCACGCACTAGGGCTGTGCAGCCAAAACCAATCTCAATTTATGAGGCAACCTTCTTTAGCGATGGTGACCCTATTGTGCCATTTTCTTGACAGGACTTGTTTGGGAGAGGGCGTCATTACCTTCCTCTGAGGCTGAGAGAGTGTGGCTTGACCAAGGTTGTTCAATGAGTTACCATGAGAAGAATAGCAAACCCTGGTTTTCAAGAAACGTGGTCCAATAAGTAAGCATTTGGTCTGACTGATCAGGATGCTATTAATGTTCTTAAGGCCTTCGGGTCCAGGCTATTTGTCTAATCGCTTCTCCCTATACAGGCGGTCAATGGAGGAGGCCCTGCTCTCAGTCCCACCCCCGTCACAAGCACAATTGGGGGACTTCTCTGTGATCACTCCCTGTCTCTGGTTCCTCCATGCTGCGTTCCTCCTCATTGACCCCATCCCGCAGATTTGAACCGCCAACAAGTTCAGCATCTCAGCGGTTTAACCGGCTGTGCCACTGCAGCCCCTTAACATTAACAAAGAGTAAATATTTTTATGATAGCATCACACTGAGGAAGAGGCTTTAAAAACACCCGTCTCCTGGCTGTTGCTTACTGCATCTGCCTGCCACCTCAGAAGGAGAAAGAGGCAATCCTGCTGCTACTCTCCCCCTCCCAAGCCAGCTAAGAGGAGGAAGGGGACTGAGGAAGAGTCTTTAAAAACATCTGTACCCTGGCTGTTGCTTACTACATCTGACTGCCACCTCAGGAGGAGAAGGAGGAAATCCTGCTGCTATTCCCCCCCCTCCCAAGCCAGCAAAGAGGAGGAAGGGGACTGAGGAAGAGTCTTTAAAAACATCTGTAGCCTGGCTGTTGCTTACTACATCTGCCTGCCACCTCAGAAGGAGAAGGCGGCAATCCTGCTGCGACTCTCCCCCTCCCAAGCCAGCTAAGAGGAGGAAGGGGACTGAGGAAGAGTCTTTAAAAACATCTGTACCCTGGCTGTTGCTTACTACATCTGCCTGCCACCTCAAGGGGAGAAGGAGGAAATCCTGCTGCTATTCTCCCCCTCCCAAGCCAGCTAAGATGAGGAAGGGGGTTGAGGAAGAGACTTTAAAAACACCTGTCTCCTGGCTGTTGCTTACTGCATCTGCCTGCCACCTCAGGAGGAGAAGGAGGAAATCCTGCTGCTGCTCTCCCCCTCCCAAGCCAGCTAAGAGGAGGAAGGGGACTGAGGAAGAGACTTTAAAAACACCTGTCTCCTGGCTGTTGCTTACTACATCTGCCTGCCACCTCAGGAGGAGAAGGAGGAAATCCTGCTGCTACTCTCCCCCTCCCAAGCCAGCTAAGAGGAGGAAGGGGACTGAGGAAGAGTCTTTAAAAACACCTGTCTCCTGGCTGTTGCTTACTACATCTGCCTGCCACCTCAGGAGGAGAAGGAGGAAATCCTGCTACTCTCCCCCTCCCAAGCCAGCTAAGAGGAGGAAGGGGACTGAGGAAGAGACTTTAAAAACACCTGTCTCCTGGCTGTTGCTTACTACATCTGCCTGCCACCTCAGGAGGAGAAAGAGGAAATCCTGCTGCTACTCTCCCCCTCCCAAGCCAGCTAAGAGGAGGAAGGGGACTGAGGAAGAGACTTTAAAAACACTTGTCTCCTGGCTGTTGCTTACTACTACATCTGCCTGCCACCTCAGGAGGAGAAGGAGGAAATCCTGCTGCTACTCTCCCCCTCCCAAGCCAACTAAGAGGAGGAAGGGGACTGAGGAAGAGTCTTTAATATGGGATGTATCATGTATGAGGACAAAATGGCCTACCATTTTACACTGGACCAATCAAATCTAAGGTATAATGAGTAAACCTTTGGGTTCTAGAGAAGGGTTCCAGTGCGGCTTCTAAGACGAAGGGCCTATCCCCCACCCCAAGAACATTAAAACGAGTGACATAAAAGAGTCACCTTGGAACCTGGTCAAAACTAAACGCTGCCATGGAATCTGCCACATGGAATGAAAACACAACATACCTACCTAAACCTTAATCCTGACGCTACTCCTGAATTTACCTATTTTTGACTCACCATTTACAATTGATTCACTAGTTGACTCTAGTTGGGAGGAACTAACAACACTCCCATTCTTGTGCCTACAGTGTCGCAGGAATCCCAAACAAATTGCAAGTTCCATAGGTTGTTTTTTGGCGTTTCTGGAAGCATTAGTTTACTAGGCATAGCCATAAGTCAACACGTGACTTGAAGGCACATGTACACACCCAGGAGATGCATGGCAATTCCAGAAGCATCATTACCTTCAGAAACAAAACAATGAGACCACAAACTCCACATATTTACCAAGCAAAGTCTTTTTTTCTGCTGCTGCGGCATATTCAACAGTCCCAGCCTATCTATAAATCTCTTTTGATGGTTTTCAACACTACTGGTTGGTCTAGTCTAGTATTGCCTACTTGTTTTGTCAACAGCTCTTCCATATCCTTTTAACTAGGACACACCAAGATAGTCAATCTGCAACTTTCTGTGCATTCTGTGACTGAACCTATGGGACATTCGGTTGTTATATAACCAGGATACGCCAAGCTACTCAATCTGGAACTTTCTGTATATGCTGCGACTGAACCTATGGGACATTTGGTTGTTATATAACATAATGGAAGCCCGCCTGTTCCCTTTTGCCTCACTCAGCATGGAGACCACGCTGACAACAACAGGCTATCCATTGATGGATTAAGAGACATACAGTGTGATGCTACAAGGTCCTCTCACTCACTGTTGCAACCAGCCTTATCCAGTGTTTACAATGATTTACAAACACTGCACCATCACATAATGCCTTCCACATGTATTTTCCCACCACATATTTCTTGGGACATTAGACAGGGACCTTTTTTGCACTGACTGGGCAAATATTATATTTATACAGGACACTGGACAGTTCCAATGGGCCTTCTCACTACTCATATGAACCGTGCATCCTTAGATCACCCCCAATATTCTCTCCATAGTTCAACATTGCACGAAAATATCCTAAAAGGTGGCCAATCTGGGCTTTAGGAAAGCCACAATCCATTATTCCTGATCATTCCACCAAGATAAGAGAAGGTATCTTATAGATCAGGCATGGGCTCTAGGTGTTTTGGACTTCCAACTCCCACAATTCCTACCATGTTTCCCCGAAAATAAGACACTGTCTTATATTTATTTTTCCCCAAGAAGATACACAATGGTTTATTTTCAGGGGATATCTTATTTTTATTGAATCTGCATTTATGGGATGATCTCTCTGGGCTCAGTAATAGACTGTGTGCTGAAGCTTTCCCCCTATCTCCTGGTGTTTGTGTGGGGGAGAGAGGCCCATAGACTGTTGCTGGTCAGTGCTGGGAAGCAGCACTGGAATTCCGGACAGCGAACAATCAGGGCCAGCCAATCACCTCCTAACAAAGGATTCCCACAGACAGTAAGAAGCCAGATCTTGAAAACTGCTAGGCCATTAAATGCTAATCAAGGTGGCCAACTGCAGCATTCACACCTACCTCAAATGGACAAGAGGTCTTTCTCTCATTCTGGACAGTCTACAGATATATAAACCCCATTTTCCTAGTTTCCAACAGACCTCACAACCTCTGAGGATGCCTGCCATAAATGCAGGTGAGATGTCAGGAAAGAATGATTCTGGAATATGGTAACTGAGCCTGATGATGGAGCCAACCTTGTTCCTTACATAGCCATTAGGCTTGGGCAATCCATGGTTGTAAATGGTTCTAAAGTACTTACAAAACTAAAGTTCTGGTGGTGAAAATTTCAGAACTCTAACAAAACTCTCAAAATTTCATAATAAATGGCAGTTCCTAATTGGTTCTGTCAATAAAATCACCAATAATGAAATAATAATTAAATTTTGAAAGTTTTGTTAGAGTTCTGAAATTTTCACCACCAGAACTTTAGTTTTGTAAGTACTTTAGAACCATTTACAACCATGGATTGCCCAAGCCTAATAGCCATACCTATCACTATGTCTTATTTTCAGGGTATGGCTTATATTGTTCAAATACTTAGAAATCCTGCTATGGCTTATTTTATGGGTATGTCTTAATTTCGGGGAAACCGGTTAACAGCCTATCAGCTGTTAGGAATTGTGGAAGTTGGAAGTCCAAAACACCTGGAGGGCTGAAGTTTGTCCAGGCCTGTTATAGATACTGCTTTAGCTCCAACAAGAGATATATATCTGGGAAAATACACTAAACTAAATGTTAACAGATCCTAAAAGAGCACCATAATATTCACAGCCCTTTCCTTATGCTGAACCTCCTGGGCTTCATGATGTGCAGAAAATACACACTTTGATTTTTGCTCCTTTTCAAAACCAAATCACTATGACATCGGCCTCCCCAGAACGGGAAATTATTTGTTTTTCAATGTGTGGGCAAGAACGTGTTTACAGACACTTCATGACTTTCTCTTTCTAAAAAAACCCAAAACCATTGTGTCAATTTAGGTTCACTTGAATGTACATTTGACCAATATGGCAGGTTCAAAAAATGCACACGTCAAAAATAAATTTAATTCTAAACGCTTGCCAGCAAAAGTCACAAAGAAGGTAGAAACTAGCTGTATCGGACCACAAAGGAAGGCCTGTATTGGATGTAACTCAGCAAGCCGTTCTGAGATTAATTAGAGATTCTGAGAGGTAAATGAGGAAAAAGGTGTGATCTTTCCTGTCCCCAGTTACAGCCTCTTTCTCAACATTTTTCTTTGCGTAGGGTTACAAGAAAAATGACAGACTTGCCTTGTAAGGTCGAAAAGAGAGAGACAGGCTGAGAGGAAGAAACAAAGGAATCTGAAAGGAAAATACATAGGATGAGATTTGACAACCCTGGAGTGGAGGAAACAAGCATTTCGTTAATATAGCGTTGTAGAAAAGTCTGGCTCTCGGCGACACCTTACCGAGGGAATCAGGGAAACAGAACGGAGAGAAATCGGCCATTACTACTCACTCACCTGGACAAAAGGTTTGATGGTGTGCCTAAGAAAGTGAAGCCAAATGACATAATTTACCTGTTGGCTTAGAAGGAGAAAGATCACCTTGTCACTCAAACATACCCACAATATCATTTCCTTTTGATTTTTAACCCCCTGGTGCTAGGAATGACTGGAGAAGAAACCGGAAGTACATGCTACTTGCATTCAGGTAACGGGAAGGATTCTAGAGTAGGCACATGTTCAACGTAGCCATGTGTTATGTCTGCAATGAAAAGGCTTAACATTATAGCCCTCTCACCTCACTCGCCTCATAGGAAACCTGCTACAAAACAGGAGCTTTTTTGTTGAGTTCCAGGGCCAGAGAAGCAGATCACAGGAGCTGTCTTCATAGACATGTCAGCAGCCTATGATACTGTGAACCACTGCCTCCTCCTGAGAAAATTGTATAATATCACAAAGGGCGACCACCTCACCTGCCTCATAGAAAACCTGATACAAAACAGGAGCTTTTTTGTTGAGTTCCAGGGCCAGAGAAGCAGATGGCGGAAACAGAAGAACGGCCTGCCTCAAGGGAGCATGCTTGCTCCATCCATGTTCAACATCTACACAAATGACCAGCCACTGCCAGAAGGGACAGAGAGCTTCATCTATGCTGATGATCGTGCCATTACTGCTCAAGCAGGAGCTTTGAGATGGTAGAACAGAAGCTCTCCGAAGCTCTAGGTGCCCTTACCGCCTACTACAGGGAAAACCAGCTGATCCCTAACCCATCTAAAACACAGACATGTGCCTTACACCTTAAGAACAGACAAGCATCCCAAGCTCTGAGGATGACCTGGAAAGGAATCCCACTGGAGTATTGCAGCACACCCAAATACCTGGGAGTCACTCTTGACCGTGCTCTGACCTACAAGAAGCACTGCCTGAATATCAAGCAAAAACTGGGTGCTAGAAACAATATCATACGAAAGCTGACTGGCACAACCTGGGGATCATAACCAGACACAGTGAAGACATCTGCCCTTGCGCTATGCTACTCTGCTGCTGAGTATGCATGCCCAGTGTGGAACACATCTCACCACGCTAAAACAGTGGATGTGGCTCTTAATGAGACATGTCGCATTATCATGGGGTGTCTGCACCATACACCACTGGAGAAATTACACTGTTTAGCCGGTATTGCATCACCTGACATCTGCCAGGAAGTAGCAGCCAATAGTGAAAGTACCAAGGCAGTGACATCTCCAGCTCATCCCTTGTTTGGGTATCAGCCAACACGTCAATGACTTAAATCAAGAAATAGTTTTCTAAGATCTACAGAGACACTCGCTGGAACACCTCAGCAAGCGAGAGTCCAAAAGTGGCAGGCTCAAACCCAGAACCTCAACCAATGGCTGATACCAAGTGAGAGACTCCCTCCTGGGCACACAGAAGACTGGGCGACCTGGAAGGCGCTGAACAGACTGCACTCTGGCACCACGAGATGCAGAGCCAATCTTAACAAATGGGGCTACAAAGTGGAATCCATGACATGCGAGTGTGGAGAAGAGCAAACCACTGACCACCTGCTGCAATGCAACCTGAGCCCTGCTACATGCACAATGGAGGACCTCCTTGTGGCAACACCAGAGGCACTCCAAGTGGCCAGATACTGGTCAAAGGACATTCAATCAACTACCAAGTTTGCAAATTTTGTGTTTTTTGCCTGTTTGTTTTATTCTGTAGAAATGTAATACAATTGTCTGGTTGCCCCTGACACGTTAAATAAATAGGCCTCTGTTCAGACCAGTTAATAGAAGTATTTCTTCTCTTCCAGATATTAGCTACAGTAGAGTCTCGCTCATCCAACCTTCGCTTATCCAACATTCTGTCTTAACCGATGATTGGGAAAACAGGGTAATCACTATTAAAATCATGCCATCCACAATCGTAATCCGGGGCCGTTCCAAGCATAACTGCACATATTTCGTAATTATTATTTCACTGTAGGTAATCTCCAAAGCCTTAACCCCAGAGCCAGGTTTTCACTTTCCTTCTGAGAGTCAGGAGGGAAGGTGCTGCTCTAATATCACTGGGGAGTGACTTCCACAGTTGAGGGGCCACCACTGAAAAGCCCTTGCCACTCATTTATTTATTTATATACCATCCCCTCTCAACCCAGAGGCGACTCGAGGCGGTTTACAGTCGGCAGTCAATGCCCCCAAACAACATAAACACAGTTAAAAACAGTTCGTATAACATAAATTATATAAAAGCAAACAATAAAAACCATAAAACACAAGTCCTCAGTGTCTCATCATTAAAATCATTTTTCCGTCGCATTGTCCAATCGTTCCGTGGATCTCAATTAGTATGTCACACTGCGTCTGCAAATGCCTGTTCAAACAGCCAAGTTTTGACTCTCTTTCGAAATGAATAGAGTGAAATAATGAATGTAATAATAATAATAATAATAATAATAATAATAATAATAATAACAGAGTAAAATAATAGAATCATAGAATCAAAGAGTTAGAAGAGACCTCATGGGCCATCCAGTCCAACCCCATTCTGCCAAGAAGCAGGAATATTGCATTCAAATCACCCCTGACAGATGGCCATCCAGCCTCTGTTTAAAAGCTTCCAAAGAAGGAGCCTCCACCACACTCCGGGGCAGAGAGTTCCACTGCTGAACGGCTCTCACAGTCAGGAAGTTCTTCCTCATGGTCAGATGGAATCTCCTTTCTTGTAGTTTGAAGCCATTGTTCCGCGTCCTAGTCTCCAAGGAAGCAGAAAACAAGCTTGCTCCTTCCTCCCTGTGGCTTCCCCTCACATATTTATACATGGCTATCATATCTCCTCTCAACCTTCTCTTCTGGAGGCTAAACATGCCCAGCTCCTTAAGCCGCTCCTCATAGGGCTTGTTCTCCAGATTCTTGATCATTTTAGTCGCCCTCCTCTGGACACATTCCAGGCCAGCTTGTCAATATCTCTCTTGAATTGTGGTGCCCAGAATTGGACACAATATTCCAGGTGTGGTCTAACCAAAGCGGAATAGAGCATGGGGAGCATGACTTCCCTAGATCTAGACACTATGCTCCTATTGATGCAGGCCAAAATCCCATTGACTTTTTTTGCCGCCACATCACATTGTTGGCTCATGTTTAACTCGTTGTCCACGAGGACTCCAAGATCTTTTTCACACGTACTGCTCTCGAGCCAGGCATTGTCCGCCATTCTGTATCTTTGCATTTCGTTTTTTCTGCTTAAGTGGAGTATCTTGCATTTGTCCACGAGGACTCCAAGATCTTTTTCACACGTACTGCTCTCGAGCCATTAGAACGGTACCTATTGATTTTTTGTCAATACAGAAAATCCCGTCTGAAATAGCTAGAAAGGATCACATCCCATATTAATAAGCAATTGTACACTTTTGTGACCAGCTTTATGATTGAAATATCACCCTCCTGAAAATGTAAACTACAGAACCAGTTTCTCCAACCCTTAACAGACCTTGGCAGGTGACTCACATTTTCCACTCTTAACAGTACAGAAAAGAGGAGGAGGAAGCCGCTCCAAAACCTGATGTACCAGGTTGGGAATGGTTCTTGGCAAGGATTGCACTGGGATGGATAAAGGGAGGAGGCCCTCCGCAGCTGCTTCTCATGCCTCTCCTTTTCCAAATGCATCCCCAGCAGCAAATTTCAACATCAGAGCTATTTAGCAACTAATGGACAGCAACTCTGCCTTACAAAGCATAACAAGTTATAGCACGTAGGAGGGATACCCATAGGGGGGTTCCACTCTCTAAAAATGCATTTGCTAGCTCTGGCATGGCCCTTAGGGAGAAAAAGCACTGGTGGAATAAAATAACCTTTACTTTGATTTACCAAACCCTGTAAGAGGCATCCAAAGAGAGCAATAGAGCAGTGGTTCTTAACCTTCCTAATGCCACGACCCCTTAATACAGTTCCTCATGTTGTGGTGACCCTCAACCATAAAATTATTTTTATGTCTACTTCATAACAATAATTTTGAAACTGTTAGGAATTGCCATGTAAATATCTGATAGGCAGGCTGTATTTTCATTTGCTGGGCCAAATTTGGCACAAATACCTGATACGCTCACATTTGTATACTGGTGGGGTTTGGAGGGGTTGATTTTGTCATTTAGGAGTAGTAGTTGCTGGGATTTATAGCTCACCTACAATCAAAGAGCATTCTGAACTCTACCAACGATGAAATTGAATCAAACTTAGCACACAGAACTCCCACAGCCCACGGAAAACACTAGAAGGGCTTGATGGGCATTGATGTTGAGTTTGGGAGTTGTAGTTCACCTACATCCAGAGAACACTGTGAACACAAATTGAACCAAACTTGGCACAAAGAACTTCCATGAACAGAAAATACTGGAAGAGTTTAATGGGCATTGACCTTGAGTTTTAGAATTATAGTTCACCTACTTCCAGAAAGCACTGTCGACTCAAACAATGATGGATCAGGACCAAACTTGGCATGAATACTCAGTATGCCCAAATGTGAATACTGGCAGAGTTTGGGGGAAATAGACCTTGACATTTGGGAGTTGTGGTTGCTGGGATATATAGTTCAACTACAATCAAAGAGCATTCTGAACCCCACCAACAATTTAATGAAGCCAAACTTCCCACACAGAACCCCGTGATCAACAGAAAATAGTATGTTTTCTGATGGTTTTTGGTGACCCCCCCTGACACCTCCTCACGACCCCCTCAGGGGTCCCGACCCCCAGGTTGAGAAACACTGCAATAGAGAGTTCTTCAGGGTTCTTTGTGAGATTTGCCCAAAGACACCCTAACTGGACCCCCAAACCCATTTTTGTCAGGTTTTACAATG